TGTTCTTGTCTTCCTGTTTCTAAACTACTCTTCCTTCCCATCTCTGAATTAACCACCATTTTCCCTCCCTTTCTCACGTGTATCCCCTTTTTCCTCATTTATCCTGTTTCCTTCCATTTTAAAGATCTCTTAGTCCCAAGTTTCCTAATTCCTTGTCTCTTTCATTGTTACTTATATGACAGTGACATCAGTAGCTAGCTGCATTCTTTAAATGACCTTCAGAGTTTGGTCCTCATTGCATTCATTTCTACAGATGCACTGTCTTTTAAATCTGTAGCAGAAGTTGCAGAGAATCAAGTATTAAAAGCCTTGTGATTAGCAGCAACTATCAAACTTGCAAGGAAGATACGTTTACAAGCAGCTCTCATGCAGAGTTATTGTACTTGTGAACTGAAGAAACGCTGGTTTTGCACAGGCACCAGCCTGTGCCATGTAAATGTATAATGTAAATTTATCCACTCTTCTTTTGAATCAATGGATTTTCTTGCAGTGTCTTGTGTTGCAGTGGCAGAGATTTGCATCCATCCAGTTTCACATGCAAATACATGGTCTTCCTGAGAACTCTTCAGTTTGAAAAGCCACTTGACCTGAGGAAGAGTTCTACCTCATTAAATAGCCTAATTTAAGAGACTAAAGTATCTTGAAGAGTTCAGCTTTCTAAGGGGGCATAACATTCAGAAGTTGGTGGAAGAAAACTTGTGCATAGACAGAGGAATCCGCAAAAGAGAAGGGGGCTATAGAAGGACAAGAGAAGGGGACTACAGAAGGACAAAAGGCTTGAAAAGCTACCAGCATGGAAGACTACAAAAACAAGAGAGAAAAGAACATTCTCACATTTACGTTACTGAAAAAAGGAGAGAAAGAACAACCTCAGACTGCTACACAGATGCTGATTAAGCTCCACAGCATTCTTGTGAGATTTGTCAGACTCAGTCCCACTGAGTCCCACAGTCCCAGGAAAAATACATACTGAGAGATGAAACAGTATTGTCAGAGTGCAAATAGCCGTATTTGGAGTCCAGCATAAGACAAAATTTTGGTCAGTTTATAGGCTGTATCGTAAAAACACAAATCAAAATAATTGCAATTTTATGCAGTTATAAATGAAAGTGCTTCCTCGCATCTTCCATAATCACAGAGGATATTTTGTTCATATTCAGAACACAGCATCCTTGAACACTTCAGTAGGGCCAAAAGCGCTTCAGGTCTTCCCAGAAAACTGGACCCGCTGACCACATTTTCTGACACACATTTTCATTGTTTTAAATGAGGACTAAAGCCAGAGGAATGAGGCTGATACAAAACTAGTGAAGTGAGATCAGTATGATGCAATTAGTCTCTGAGGCAAAATTAGTCAGTCCAGCCATTCACAGAAAATCATTAAAATTATAAATAAGACTCCAAGAAGCAATAAAAGAAGCGTAAGGGAAGGAAAAGATAATTCTAAATTTACAGTGCTCACATATAGCTATACATTTATGATCATTATTTGGAGATATGGAAATAATAATTTTCTTTTTGCCATATATTGTTTAGCCCTTGTACTTTGACTTGACTGCAGACATATAGCAGAAATAGGTCTTGGGAAGGAATTTGGAGGGAAAAAAAAAGATTTACAGGCCTCTAAAAACATTAAAATATGTTACTGAATGCATTGCTACAGGTACTGAGCCTAATTCAGTTCTGTGATAGACTTCTTAGTTTCAGTGAAGAAAACTCCTTGTCCACTTGGCCTGCATTTACTCCATTTATAAGATTTATATGAAACTCCAATACTACACATATTGGAACAAATTTTTACATATGCAAATCTTCAATGTATTCCTAGTCTGCAGTTATGATGTGTATTATGTAGCTACCTGTAAGCTCCTGTAACATAAGATGTTGTTATTATAGTTTAGAAGATTGCAGTAGGACCTACTTTTTGAAACGCCACCATCCCAATTTGTGTGCCAGTTTTTGCACAGAGAACAGCTCGGATTTTCATCTGGGGATGCACTTCTGTTTCACTACAAACAAAGTGTGTCTACAAAGTCAAGTTTTGGAGAACACAAAAGCCTGGATGCAAAATTTAGCCGATATATAAGGGCCCCTTCTGAGTCATTCTCCTTGAGCACACAGCAGACCTACCAGTTAAACATTTTTTTTTTGTCTGCAAAGCAAGTGTATGGGATCCCTCTTGACTTTAGAAAGGGTCTGCATGCCAAAAGCAGGTATCTGCAGTATTCTCCCCCAAAACAACATATTTCATGTCCTTGGACAGAAAAGGCAGTTTAATCTATCATACTAACATAAAGAATTGCAATGCTCAAGGTGCATGCTGTTAATACATAGATTAAATTGTTTCAATCATATCCTCTTCACACTTCTTCACATATCACTATTCCCTTGGTTGCTATCAACTTTCTTAATATATTGCAAGATGTACAGTCTTTATCATCTTTATTTTTTTTAGGTAACATAAACATGTGCAAAGCTAAGTAATGAGAGGCAAATATTATTGTAATATTAATAAAATAGAATGGAGTAAAGTAAATACCTGATAACTATTAAAGACTGCAAAGTTAGCACTCAAGTGACGTGTGTGTTTTTAGGATCCTGTATGTTTCAGTGACAGAACATACAAGACAGCAAAAATTTCTGAGCCTTATGCTAAGCTCTTCCGTTGATTTTTCTAAATATTGACTGAAGTCTTTCTTGCACTATTTCTTGTAAACCAGAGATACAATATTTCCTATCCCATGGGGGTATTGTGGGAATAAATCATCTAGTACATAGATAATTTCCAGCAAATAAAAATGTGCTAGTCATTGTTTTTATTACTTACGTTCCTCACAGCTTTTGTGACAAAACGGGTCACTAGAGCCCAATGGGCATATCGTGAACTGTTGTGGAAAACTGCCGATACATTTTTGGACAAAGTACAAGCTATCAAATGAGTAGAGAACTAATAATTTCTGGGGATTTGGGTCCAACTGAGGCTTAAAGGGAATGGTTTTAATAGAAATGTATCCTGTGCCTCTTTAGTCTTACTTAAGATGAAAGTATTCAGAAAAGAACTGACTTGATGTGTAACTTCTTCCAAAGGGTGTTGACAGAAACAAGAGTTGGGCTTTAAAACTAGAAATATAGTGAAATTAATGCCTTTGCTAGGTATCCTTATGAGGCAATACTTCCATGTTTGCAAACACTTGGACTGTGATTTAAAAAAAAAAAAAGACTTTATTACTAGCTGAGGAAAACAGTCACATAAGTAAATAAGTGAAATACCCACACCCAGCGTATCTCTGGCAGTAGTTCTCCAGTTCACTTCCCTACCAGCTGATGCCAAAGTCCATAAAGCGAACATCCCCTTAACTCTTTGTTTTCTCCCCTTTTCCTCTCCTCTGCTATTAAGGGCTAACATAAGCATGGGATGAACTTGGCTGACACATTTCCAGTCTCTGTGGAATGTGCATTTTGATCTCACCCCTCTACCCTGGCAGTAGCAATTTATTTTCACGGCTGTCATCCATCTCCCACCCCCCAGCTTCAATACCCATTTCCACAAATTCAGGGAAGAGTCACCAGGAAATATTTTGCTCTGATTATCCCACTGCCCAAGTGCCACAGCTTCAGGGCACTCCAATCCCATGCAGGCACTTATGGGGTGGCAGTAAATGAGGATGACACCAGACCATTGGGCCCAGTGGGCTCCCAGCCTAGCAAGATGGCACAACGAGGGGCCCCTTTCCCTGTCCCACACATCACAAACCTTGATTCTGAATTTCATCTTCATCTACATGACATATACAAGATGGCCGACATAAACTGTCAAAAAGGCTAGCCTAAAAAATGTATTACAAACATGTTTCTTGTGGCAAGAACCAGCTCAGGCTCTTTTGATGATGGTCGCAACAGGGGCAGATGTACCCAGATTGCTTCCTTCCTCTGAACTCCAAGGGACACCCGGTTGGCTTTCAGGGAGTGCTGAACTTGACCGATTTCAACCAATTTTTGGTCAAATGGGCCAGAACTGGGCCATCTTCCTCCCAGTTAATCCCACTGCTGAGGAAGGATGGATTTAATTAAATTACAAGTTGTCTTGAAGATGGCGTTGGTTTAAGCCCTGCTGATACCCCATCCTTTACATATTTCTGAAGTGAAAAATGCTGCTGCATGCTACCAAGCTGCTGCTATTTTCCATGCTGGAGGTAGCCTAATTCTAGGGCCGATGCAGCTCTATGTTTGCTTGCGTGGCACCATGGTGCATCCCTAGGGTGAGGGAGGGATTTCCAAAAGGGGAGACACTACCGTGAGGATTTGGTACACCTTTAATAACGTAAATTTGAGGTGAACAGGGCCTGATTTAACACCTGGAGATTAGCAGAGAAAACTCATGCTGTGAAAGGAAAATGGAAAATGAGTAAATAAAACTCGACCTGGGTTTACCAGAGCAGTATTTTTTATTTAATTTCATTTTTGGAGGAAAGGTGACTGCAGAGCTGATGCACGGCTGCCAACGACTACTCCAACCGC